TAGTATTTAGAGATTACAGATCACTGTGATTTTTTGAATTTTGATCATTTTTAATAAAAGGCAAAAACAGTTTTAAGAGTCATTGGAAGTTTGTCATATATTTTAATATATATTTTAAGCCTGGTCAGAATGCTTTGAAAGCCAAAGCTAGGATGGAGAGAGATTTAGGTTGTGGTAAGTATTAGGAATTTTAGTTCCATAAAATTCTTTGAAAGTTGCATTCACAGTGTTTGTAAGCATACATTTGAAGTTAACTGGCAAATCAGTATGGACAGATAGAATCCATATGTTTAATGCCATGAACAGATATTACCCTCACTAATGTCACTGGTGATTAACTTAGAAGCTCAAATACTGACAATCAGAATTATATATTTTGGAAATTATTTGCTACTTACTACTTCTTTCCTTGTCATGATTTTTTAAAATTATTTTTGAAAAATTTAAAAATAACAGGAGAGATTCACAAATACCTTGGGAAGCTTCTCCTTGAAAAGTTGAAGTCTGCCAAGTAAGTGACTTAGTTCTCATCATGCATTAGAACAATGGCCTGATTTAATATGACAAAGTTAATTGTTAATTGTTAATGAGGTATGTCCTCTGTTTACCCCATTTATCACTGTAAAGTATAGAAGTTACGCTGCACTCTAAAGGTGAAGCCAGTAGCTTGACACTTTCCAGAAGATGACCCTGTTTCAGTTTCCTATGCTTTTGCCAAAGTATTTGGGATGAAATGTTCTGTGCTGAATAGTCACCTGAGAAGCATTTCATTTTATTTATTTACTCTGAACTTCTCCACAGAGACTGTCCAGTCATTTCTGAGAGGGAGACTAATTTGCAATCATTTTATGGAAAAATTTGCAGTCTCTCTGCTCAAAGTGAAGAAAAGCTTGAGATTTGGCTGCAAGCTTTCTCATGTCTGAAGGGAATTCTTTTTTTGTATATATGGAGGAGGAAAAAAGAAAGGAAGAAGAACAAGTTCAATCCACAGCTCAGCAGTTACATTCTCCGCAGAGTCAGTGCATCTCTCAGAGTAGAGAGGGAAGGAAACTGTACCATCTTTAGGCAGCGAAGCCAGGAGCAAGCTAAAACACAGTATACTCCCTGGCCTGCTCCAGGAGCATTCGCATTGCTCAGCTGTAGGATTTCCATAGTTTAATGTGGTGTGACCACATTGCTCTTAGACAGTAGGTAGTCTAAGCTGAGGTTGCTTAAAAATCACACTGCAGGAGGAGCCGGGGCTGAAAAATGCACGTAGGAAAGACACAGAGGTCTTTCCGAAGCCAGGACTGATGAAGTTGGTGCAAGGAGGAACTTAGACACACACAAACTGTGTTAAAAGAGTGTCATAGATAGCAGAGAAACTCAGAGATGTCCAAGTTGCACATTCAGAAGCATCAGCGTTAACAGGGCCTGTGCATATCTGCACTGTATTAAGTCATTTATTATGTGCTTATGTGCGATGTCTGTCACATAAGATGAACAAAGCTACGAAAGGCGAAGGTTATGCAAGAAAGGGATTAGTATAAAGAGCAAAGTTGTATCTTACATGGGTGGAGTGCTCCAAGAGCGGTACCAGATGGTGCTAAGGTTAAGAAACTTGAATTCTCCCCTACGAGACTGAATCCTTCATATCACAGTGTTTTAGGTAGTTCTGGATGGTGCTAAGTTTAAGAAACTTGAATTCTCCCCTACAAGACTGAATCCTTCATATCACAGTGTTTTGGGTAGTTCTGAATGGTGCTGTAAAAGGTTGAGCACTCTGAGAAATTAAGTTCTCAAATGGCTAGTTTGCACCCAAGTATTATTCATATCCTACACTGAACATGCATTGCGCGCCATGTGATATTACTCAGCCGAACTTTTTGAACAATCCTCTAGCTTTTGTTATTCACCCAGAGCTATTTAGTACCGTAGAAATGAAACTCCTTTTCCACTGACAGAACCTCATTACCTTATTTCACAAGCACGCTGCAGTGAAGTGATTTCTTGCAGTGTTACAACTGTGAGCAGTCTTGGGACATTAAATACAAAAGCATTGTTCCTGCAACCTTCAAGCATACAAGTTGTCTTAGAGAAGGTTGCTATAGTAAGACTTAGGTCAACCAGCACAGTGTTTTCATGCTTGCTGGGCTAATTTTTTGCAAATATTTCTGAATATTGGTATTATTGATTGGTAATACATGCATATTCAAGTGCACAGATTTAAGTAAAGTAGAAGAAACTGGCTGAAACTCCTGAACAGCTCTGCAAAGCAGTATGTGTGCAGTCCTGATTTAAATGGGGAGCTGCGCCGCATATTGAGGGGTACATCAACAAAAGCTAGGGGATGGGGCTAAACCCTCTCTAGTAAATGTTTGCTTAAGTTAGCAAAACACTAGTGAAACATGCTACAAGGAGTTATTTAATGTCAGCAGAAAATGGTTCTAGTTATAGTACTACTAGGCATGTGTTGAGGTTCATTAACCTGTCAGCTCTGCTTGTAGTTCTCAGACATGAGGTGTGACCTGGTGCCATTCAGTGCATTAGCACGAATACAAGCATAGTGATAACGTTGTATAGAACAGCAGCCAAAAATAACATCATCTTTGCGTTTCCTGAAGACGCTCGTTGTCAGTGTCTAAGACTTCAGCAAAGTCAGAGGTAGTCCTCATTGGCACAATAGCTGCTGATTCATTAAATGCTTAGCTTGTGACACTTCCACAGAATTTGCTCTATAGGTTAGAAGGGATGCACTGATTATTTGGTTACTCTGTCAGAGAAATGTGTCTGCTTGAAATCATAATCTTACTAGTGAATTATTTTGCTCAACACCAGCATTTTGGCTTAAATAAAACGAAGATCTTGTCATCTCTTCAGAGTAAGTATTTATATTGTGCTGTATCAGATTGAAACTTGACATGTGCCTGCTGATATTCAGTGTCTCAGCGCAGAATGAAGATAGCATTATCTGGCCCATATGTAATAAGTATTGCCAAAGGAAAGTGGTTTTACCTATCAGAAAAAAATAAGTCCAAATCTTGCATATGAAATACACCGGTAATTAGACATGCCTTCAGTATGAACGTTTGATTCATTATGTTTTTGCAGCAACGTATTTGTGATACAGCATTGCAATAGCAATTAGCAACAGTAGTAACAGGGAAAGGAGTATTAACTATCATCAGTGTTAACCCAGGTTCTTTGAATAAATTCTTTCTAGCATTTATAATACTACAGGCCCTTTTATTCAAATAGTAGCTGTATTTGAATGATGTTGGTAAATGCACATCAGGGGAAGAGAGAAAAAAAGATAAATGCCCTCTTCATTTGCCTTCCCACCTCCCCTACAGTGGGAATTCAGTAGCTGCAGAAGACAGACTGGCTGTTCTCAGTCATCACTGGTCCAACTAGAAGTGATAGATCAAGGTCCTCTTGTCACTTTTCCTGGAGCTCCATCCTTAGGTCAGGAACCCACCATGTGAGTAAGGCTGCCAGATGATACCTTGGCTTCTCTCACAGGACAGAAACCCTGATTTCTGATCTCTTGCAGCCTTAACACAGACTTCTGGTCAGATAGCTACTTTTCTAATCTCAGATACAGCTCGGCAGTGAGTGCTGCCTCCATCTTTTTCCTCTTGGCTTCTCCCCCAAAGCAGATGAAAACAACATAACAGCAAGTTTATATAGGGCAAATAGGTAAAATTTGCTGATTTTCTTCTTTTCCAGCTTGTAGGTATTATTATTGTTATTACTATTGTCATGCCTATGACTATGGATATCAGAATACGGTATCCTGCCATCAGTGTCCCTACTTGTGTCACCTTACAGCTAGTCTACAGCAGTTATACCAAAACATGAAGCCGATGGTACGTAGAAGGCTTTTAGTTATCGCAGAATAATACAATCTGTCTCTTCAGTTGCTATTTGAGGGCATCGGGTTTATTTCTCTGCAGTGGCTTTGATGGGTGGTCTTTGTCCTTATCATTAAAGCACTCTTGGTCTAGCCCTGGATGTCTGATTAATCATCTCCTGGCCTAGGTTGAAGACTGTGAGTGTTAAGTTCAGGCTTGAGCTCCCTGCAGCTTTGGTTCCCATTCAGTCTTCTACCTCTTGGATAGTAAGTTGGCTGTGAAATAACCCAGTGTGGGCATGGAAATTAAAGTTAAACCTGATGTTTACAGAGGGAACAAAGTGTGTTGCCTGCAATCTATTATTGTTGCCCAAAGACTAGAGAAGGTGGGGATCACTGATCTACAGAAAAGGTTGCTGTCGCACCTAAGAACTCATCTAGCAATGGACTGAACTCACATGGACATTAAGGATTTTTGCAAGTTCCATCATGTGCGGCTTTGTGTGCACATTATTTTGTGTTCTGGAGTATAAATATCCAATACCATATACATTTAAAAATAAAAACCAGCAAAACTAAAACCCTAACCAAAACAATACTAAAAAGCACCCTCCCACAAAACAAGACTCTCTTACATGGAAGAGACTATTTGAAAACATTCTTCAGATTGGTTGATGTGTTTTAGAGGGTACTCGCACTTCAGCGAGGAGTGCACTTTAAGAATTTACAGTTTGTTTAGTAGCTCCATAAATACTAGCATTTTTGTCCATTTAGAAAGATACTGTAGCACCTTTGTAGACAGTTGCAAAACACCTTTACAGAGTGAAGTATTAGTCTTTCTTGCTGAAGATGATTTGGAAAAACAGTAAGAACTAAGTTGTTGACTAATATAAATGAGTACAGTTCACTTTAGTCTTCATAAGGTTTCAATTAGCACAGTTTGATGACATGTCAGCTGATGGCATTACTTCCTTGCTACATGTAATGGTGTAAACTGTCACAGCTTTTTTGTCTTCAAGCAGAGATACCACGTTTCAAGGGGCCTGCTTTGGGGTGCTATTCAAAATTTGAGAATGAATTATACAATTCATTTTACCTTGACTGTGAGCTCTAGCTAGTAAACTCTGTCATGGATAGTCATATCATTTTATTTGTTTCATTTCTATAGGGCACTTGCTTGGGCTTTCCCATGATGACTCAAAATTTTGTGAGGAGAACTTTGGCTCCATGGAAGATAAGCGCCTGATGTCCTCCATTCTGACTAGTATCGATGCTTCAAAACCCTGGTCCAAATGCACTTCAGCAACTATAACAGAATTTTTCGATGATGGTCATGGTACGTATTATCACACCTTGTGTCAGCTACATGTTAGTTTTTACTGTGATCTGTTTTTTTAATAAGAACATTTTATACCAGCTTGTCCATACTTTGCTCATCTTCAGGACTATCTTGGAAGTGCTTGCAAAACAAGGCAAAGGTCTAAAAGGCTGGCAAAGTCTCAGCCTCCCTTTGCATGGTTCAAAAGAAAGAGGGAAGAAAGAGTTGGTGGAGTGTGTGTTGGCAATAATATGGTTTGGAACATGGAGAGGTTTTTTTAAAAGCATGAAATTAGTCTTGTCTTCCCAAATGCCACTGATAGGAGCTCAGAGAGTATTTTAAACAGAGGACACAAGGAAATGGCTTTTTCCTCATAGAAATTAAAATGGGTGATATGGCCTATTTAGCATTAGACTACAGATATGAGCAGAGTGTATGTGTTCTTGTTGCCATTAATGACATGTATTATCTTTATAATGCCATTGTATTTTATTAAGTTTATAATGCCGTTGTATTTATTATTTTTATGTAGAGGGTCTGTAAGCAAGAATTAAGACTCCGCTGTGCTGTGTATGATAAAAGATTACTTCTGCCCCAGGAGTTTACCTTCCAAGTCATGTAACTAATATTTGTTAAATATGTCATTTACCCTTTGGAGAATAAGTGTAAAACTTTTATTTTCCAAAAGTAATAATAAAAAAGCATAGGCTTCACTCTTTAATGAATTTTAAAGTCTTCACTGTGCTCCCAAAGCAACTGCAGTTCTTAAACAAACCATTCAAATTCCAAAATGCTGAGATAAAAATGACATAATTGAGTAAATGGATCAAGTTGTTATGGTAACCGAAATGCTTATGGATAAAAAGTATGGTATGTCTGCTGAATGCAAAGTGTTTTTTGCTTTTAAATATTTTGTCGGCTGATTTGAGTGCTCTCTGAAATATTTTCTCCTGTTTTCCTCTATTGGAGAATAATTTCATTTTTTCTCTCAATTTTATTAGATCCATTAATCTGTACTGTCCTGTTTTATGGTCCATATTGCTCTGGCATTGACTTAATATTACCAAGTTAGTTTCCACATACGAAGAGAACTTTCCTTTTTGAGTTTAGTTACTGAGGTACAGTACAGTTCACTGGGGTAAAAAAAACGGGACCTCCCTGCCATCCATGAATGACCTCTTAGAGAGCGTAAGGAACTCTGAGCTACATTTCCTCTTCTGTTCCTCTCCTGTTGCAGGAGAGTAGAAAGGTTGTTCTCATTTTTTCCCTTTTTTTGTGACCTGGCTTCTTCTCTTTACTGTGCATCCAGCTAGCTACTTTCTCCAACAATAAAGCAAGCAAAGAGAGCGTTTCTCCCACCCACCTCACCTTTGGCTTGTTTGTTCCTGGGGGGATGCTTGAAATTTGGACCCTTATCCATCAGCTGGACCCAGTCTCAATGTGGAAGTAAGGAGGGGCTGTAACAATCAGTCCTCCGGGTCTAAGAATATAACTCTGCCCGTTTTTTTCAGTAAAACTAGGTAGGAGCTTCAGATCATTCAGAGCTGCATTATCGTCTCCTTGTTC